TATAGCTCTATTACAGAATCTTTTAAAAAGGTAAGTTCATCTTCTGCACAAAGCTTTCCTATCTGCACATTCAATTATGGGCTCTTGACCTTTCCATGTTAGCTTACATTTTACTCACAGGTAAAGGAAAACAAGTTTCTGGATGATCTTGTATCTCATGCAACTCTGCTGCTTGTGAATGTAGGTCTGAAATCAAGTAGCTGGAAGAAGTCTACAAAGCCATAAGTTAAAATCTGTATTTCACATTCAGGTTCAAGAAGAAATGTCATGTACTCTAAGTGTCATTTTATTCTAAGTATCCCACCATTTCAGTGTTTGGTGAATAATAGAATCATAAAATCGTAGAATATGTGGGGTTGGAAGGGACCTTTAGATCATTCAGTCAAGCCTCTCCTGCAGTGCACAGGGATGTTTTTAACTAGATCAGGTTGCTCAGAGCCTCATCAAACCTGACCTTAAATGTTTCCAGTGGCCTCCACCACCTCTCTGGGCAACCCATGTGTGAACGGCAATCCATCCTCACTGAAGGAACATAAATCGCCAGAGAGAGAACGGAAAATGCTGAGGGATGCACAACTGTATGGAGCATACATCTGAATATAGACTAAGAAAGTTTTCTAGTAAACTAGAAAACTGAGTGGTTTGATGTACTTTAAATGTCCAGTGAACTTTGTGGAAACGGTGCACTTACCAGGAGTTCTTGAAATTTGCTCCACTCCCATAGGAGTGGTGTAGGCTTTTTCTCAGAGCAAGGAGGACACTGGACCAAGTTTTGATGAGCTGTGTACAAAAAACTGGTAATCCAGCTGCATTTGTCTATGGCTCCACTTGCAGCTGGCTTGCAGTTGGAGCCAGCTGAAACCATTCTCAGAGCATTTCACAACGTGTCAGCATTTGCAAACTGGACCTTCAGAGCAAATTCTGGGGATCAAGCATTCAAAGTTGCTCTGTTTTCCCTCAAAAGGGAACTCCAGCATCTTTTTTTTTCCCCCAGTTCTTATGAAACTTTTGATACGACACTTTTTTGACCTCTTACTTATGAAAGAAGCAGGTCTGTGGAGCCACATCTCTGTGCCTTATGGCATCATACTCAGCAGCGGAGGATGTGGGTACTCACCCTTCCCAGTGGATACCTTTGTACAGAAGTAGTGGTGAGGAATCAACCTTTGCTACTGGTGTCTCCCAACACATGCGGTAAGTAATATTTAAGTCTTTTTGAGTATTAAGAGATGCAGCTAAATCACAGAATCATTAAGGTTGGAAGGGACCTTAAAGATCATCAAGTTCCAACCCCCCTGCCATAAGCAGGGAACCCTCCCACTACACCAGGTTGCACAAAACCTCATCCAACCTGGCCTTAAAAACCTCCAGGGATGGGGCATCAACAACCTCCCTGGGCAACCCATTCCAGTTCCTCACCACCCTTATAGTGAATAACTTCTTCCTAATATCTAACCTAAATCTCCCCTCTCTCAGTTTAAAACCATTACCCCTTGTCCTATCACTACCTTCTCTGGTGAAAAGCCCCATCCCAGCTTTCTTGTAGCCCCTTTCAAGTACTAGAAGGTGCTATAAGGTCTCCCCAGAGCCTTCTCTTCTCCAGGCTGAACAGCCCCAATTTTCTTAGCCTGTCTGCAGGGTTCTTGCCATTTGAGTATTGCTTTTGCACACTTTAATGTACCCATTCAAATGAATACTCCAGATTTAAGCTCCTGTCTCTCTGTTATGCCTTATTATAAAAATATGTATTTATCATTATTCATATACAAATATTAGTTTGTATTCAACAGTCAAATGGCTCTTCCAAATTAAAGTTGTACAATAAAAGAGAAAGCAAAGTTCTATGCAAAAAATGAACTATAAGAAATGCCAATGGGTAACTCTCTCTAACATTGTGATCTAAGCTGCCCTGCCACTTAACTCCAAGTAACACGTTACAGGGAAGAATTCCTTTCTCTTTCTGAAATCACAGAAAAGAACAGAGAAACCCTTGGCTGCTAGCTTGACACAAAGCCTTACCAAACCAAATGTGAGTTTTCCCCTGGGGTCAGTTTTTGTCTTTCCACTCATCTTGACTGGTTTGCAATAGCACACACACACAAAGAATGGAAGGTCCAGGCAAGTGGATGGTCACCCTGCCAGTGTGACTGGAGCTTTGGGGAATGAGAGCAGATGAGCAGCAGCCAGAGCAAATGGATTCACTTACGACTTGTTTACTCTAGATCCAAATTAATTTGTGAAACACTCCCTTTGGGCCTGGTAGGCTGTTGAAAGCAAAAACCCCATTTTTTTCCTGCAGACACAGTAATTGCTAGACTCACATCTGCCAGGCTCCTCTTCTCATGGAGGGCCCCCATCCTCTGTATCTCACTCTCTGCAAGGGAGGCACAGTTACCTGTTCTCAAAGACCTTCCTGTAACTCTATGCCACAGCAAAGCAATCCTGATGTGTAACCTCTAGTGGGCATGGTGGTTTTTTTTCTGAGTTGACAGTTGGACTTTGTTAGAGGCATCTTAGAGGTCTGTTCCAACCATGACAATTCTGTGATTCCTTTAGGTACCTTTTCCTAATGCTTTCCAGTTGTTGCACTTACCAACTAATAATTCTGCTTGCTTCAAAGCCTAAGCAAATGTCAGCTAAAATACATTTTTTGTCAAGCATTTCCCCTTCAACTTGTAGCTGTGAGCTGGTGCTCCCAGGTGAGTTTTTCTGTACCCCAGACTCTGGGGAGGAGGTGCTCACTACACAGAAGTGCTCTGGAGCCATTCCCTCATGGCAGGGCCCCACGTCTGGAGAAACTGGCTGCCAACATGCAAACTATAGGGAAATGCACATTATTTCTTGTCTATTCACTCCCACTGACTTCCACAAATTATTTTACCAGAGCACTGGTTTCTAAAGGCGTATTATGTGGAATTATCACTAAAGTATCACACTAGAGCACATTTGTTAATAACTTCATCATTAAAATATTTTATTCATAAGCAAATAATAAAGATGGAGGCAAATATTTGATGGTATGATCAAGTTTTAACATATCTCAGAATAAACAGAAGCAATGTGAGCTAATTAGCTATTAAAATGTCCTATGCTCATAGTAAAACAGGTCTAATCCTGAAAGTAATTGGAACCTTCTATGGCCTCACTACATGAAGTGAGGAAATCAGCCCCATAATTAATGATTGCTCAAGAAGGCATCAGGAGCGAGGATTGACCTCCTCAACTTCAAATGTCTAAATGCACATTGAGCAGGTCGCTGTGGCCATAAAAACAGAATAAACCTGACAATTTTAGGTCGATATTGGGATAAAATACATTAAGCTTACCTATTTTTCTTTCTTTCCACTGACTATAAAGGAGCAGAGGACAACCTCAGCAATATGCCCTCCACCCCATGTTTCACATCCAGAGATGTGTTCTTGGCCTACCACTTATGTCGTGATACAATTTTTCTTAGGTCTAACTTTTACTGTGACCTAAGCAGAAATAATTGGTATTGGTATGTTCATGCAGACATTTCTGCTGTTCAGCTCAAAATGACAACTAATTAAGTTTCAGTAACCTATTGGTGTGCTGCACCCTCTGTAAAAAATAAGATTTGAAATGCTCTGAGCAGAGCATTAACAAAATTGATACTTGTGTATCTGTGCTGTGACTGAAGCTACACGACCAGTTAGCACAATGCTTAACTCAAGCAGCGTGGATGCAATGCACTGTTTCAAGTTATCCTGGCTATCTATAACAATAATGCCCCAAGGTTCAAGCTAAGTTTAAAGTCCAACTATACTACAGGGTACATACATTCATTTGACATGCACTTTGCCTGCTGTGGACTGAAACAGGCCACTGCAGCAACTGAGGATTTTACCACTCCCAGGTGCGTGTTTTGTCCTTACACAGATGCTGTGCCTCCTGTAGGAAGTGCAGCAATAAAGCATAAATGCTACCTCTAGGCCTCTGAATCTTTGCCTCTGCAGAGGAGCAAAATAGCAGGTAACTGAGGTCCTTTCAGCTACCTAAGCCCTGAAGAAGCACTCCTTGCTTCAGACATGGCATCAGAGAGGTGAACTGGCTTCTCCAGGTCACTCAATTGCGGAGTAGCCTGGGAGAGAGCCCAGACCAATCCACTACACCACACTGTCGCCCAAACAAGCTATTACATAAAAATCTCCTATTTCTCATGGACAAGTCTTAAAATGGAGGAAATATTTATGCAGCAATGCCAATGGCCAGCATCAAACATTTGAGCTGGACTACAGGCAAAGCCATGGGGTTATTAAGTGCGTGGTCTTAAAGACCACTGTGGCAAGTCTTACAGCACCAGGGGTAGAGGATGGGGGGGGTTGGGAATTCTGCTCTATTTACTCACATTTAGATCATTATATAGTGTCTAAGTGCAAAAGGGAGGGAAAGGAGGAGTAATTCTTTCCCCAACATTGTTGAACAGTTACAGAGCTAAGTTGAGCTGACCCTTTCTGCTGCTGAGGTCTCAGGTCACCAGCCAGTGAATCTGCTCTTTGCTCAATACAACCTTCTCCTATCTGCAGTCAGTGCTTTACAAATTAACCTCGCTGTCACAGTGATTGGTGGGTGAGGGCTTATTTTCTCCAGAGACAAACAGCTGATGTTTGCCTATTTCAGATCCCTGCATTAGCAAATATTGTTCAAGCGCTGAATTCCTAAGCAAACTGAAAAATGCATTATTTAAACATAACTGTGTTCCAGCATTGCACAATATTAATATTGCTAAAGCTACTTAATGCTTACACATTTAATGCATATATATATATAATAAATTGATAAATTTCAACTAAACCTTTCAATGACTGTTTCCAGTTATTAATGAATTACATCATTATAAATTTGGACCAAATGTTTAACTGGCCTCTACACTTGTGCGTATTGTTGGTTGCACATTCAGACTCCTCTTCTGCATGACCAAAGCCTTCCACTTTTTATGAAGCTCTTCATTTGATCTCTCCTGTTAAACAAGGTGCACCTCAGTCAGATTTCATTTGTTTTTTCAGTTTGGCAAGACCAGTGAGACATTCATCTCTCCATTTTCTCCTGGCATCCAAGATTTTTGGAACAACTGGGATTTTTTCAGACATTGCCTGGAATAGAACATTGAAGTTGATTGAATCTCACGTTCCAAGTAAAAAGTTTCTCACTAGCATTGTTGCCCTCCTTTTCCTGCATCAGACCAAATAACCATCTCAACAAACTATAACTTATTCTATCACAAGCAATAGGCCAATAATTATTTACATGGGTATCTGGAAATGAGCTAACATGTATGAGAGGACAAGTGCTCCCACTTGGAGGAAGTTGGCCTGAATGTGGCAATGAAAGCGCCTTCAGAAACACCAAAGCATCAGGTTTTTTCTCGGTTTGCCCCACACAGCCACTCTGTAGTCTCTTTGTTAATAACCTGTTATTAAATGGGAAGGAAACAACTTGGCCATGTATGTGGTTGAAAACGTGCTTTAAACCAAATTCCTGTGTATGTATGTTTAAAGCTGAGATCTCTCTCTGGCTCCTAATAAATGTAATGAGGGATACCACGTTCGTGAAAAATGTTTTGTCTTAAGAGTGCCAGTTATAACCAAAATGACAGGGGAAGACACATAACAAACACAGAATAATTATTTTTGTTGTTTATTGGAATATGGGGGACAGAGAGTACAGCACTATTTGATGACACAAAGGTAGAAGTCTGAACAAGTTAGCACACAAAAGTGGTATTTAAAGGAAAAAAAAAAAAAAAGTATTTCTGAGTGTATAATCAAAGTTGTCTTAGAAGTGCCAGTTAAATGCATCACCAAATTGAGAACAAGAGCTAGTAAGGTCTGGCCAGCTAGTATATTGTAACAGATTTTCTTTCAAAGAATAAAAGCTGGTTTGAGACTGCAGATAGATATCACAAGGTGATCTTTGCCAAAATAGCATCTGGGGTCTTAGGTTTAAAATGCAAGTGTTGAGAAACTTGGTAAAACCTGGACCTCCCTCCAATGATTGGCAAATTACAGTCATTGCAGAAAAAAATCAGGCGGAGGGACAAAGGAGTGAGATAAGAAATGCTTTATGTTTTACCCTTAAGAGGATTCTTTCACACCCATCTTTGGCATTGAAGACCAAAGATAATAAAGAGACACGGAAACAGGTGCTGAGGTGGACTCCAGCTTTCCATAAAGAAAGAAAAATGTTTCATACTAATCAAAAGCTCCTAATCATTAATAGATCCACAATTATTGATTGTTATTATAAGCTGCCTATGCTTTATTTAAGCATAATAGAATCTTTTTCCTTTTTTACACAGTTGATGTTGAAATTGTATAAATAGGAACAAAAAGAACAAAAATGCTGTATTCCAGGCAGCTTCCATATAGGGAATTAATCAAGAATGACTCAACACATACACGTGTTCTTTAGTGGAGCATTTAAAAAGGCAACTATGAAAAGGAGGAGTTAAGAAATAACAATACTTCAGTTAATTCCTATAACCATAGAAACAGCTTATACAGTGAGTACAAACAAACCGTGGGCTTAGAAATGTTAATGGACAACCTGGGTCCCAATCCAGCACAGGACTTGAATATATCTTATCTTTAAACATGCAAAAAACCTTACCAGACTGCTCACATACTTAAATTAAACGTGTATTTGCAAGCACCGCAGGCTGGAGCTCTAACTTGTAAAGTATACAGAAACAAAGAAAAGAACACTCAGAAGAAAAAAGCTACAGGGCTGATGCTGGAAGGAGGAAGAGACAGGGAGAAAAGACATGTAGGAAAGGAAGCTTGGAGCTGTGCATATTATGGTAGAGGACACAGAACAGAAGTGGTAAGCAATAGTGTGGAAGATTTGGTGTCAATGACCTACAGCTGCTGATTGCTCTGTCTAGTAACAATGTTACTCAGCTGCTAGATCACTTTCCCTTGATGTATGTCAAAGTGCTTTGAAGAGGGACTTCATGCATTCTGGACTCATCTTTTCATTCAAAGGACACAATCACCCAAGAAATACAGACTACAGATACCTCCAACAGTAAACTGAAATGGTACAAATGTTAAAATTAAAACTAACGTTATTTGTTCTGAATGTCACTGCATTTATCAACTGCTTATTTACCTGAGTGATTTTCTGCTTAACTTCACCTGAAAATTCTGGAACCGGTCCAAAGGTGTTCAGAACAAGTCTCATACCTTCACGGTATCTCTCACAATAGTTTGAAATACCTAAAAATAAGAGTGAAAAATTACATTTCAACAGAAATTCCTACTTAAGTTCAGTAAGACTGCCCGTGCTTAAACTCTGCTTTAAATCACAGTCCAAAAAAACAGATGTGCCTATGACATCTAATTGTCATCATGGTAAAATGGATTCTATCTACCACATTTCCATTAAGCTTCATGGAAAAATCATGTAGGACATTCCTTCACTGCCAAACCAATTAATGTTAGATAACAGCAGGCAATGCTATGTGAGGGGTATGGTACATAATGATGGATATACTTATGTTTTGTTACTTAAGACCAGAAAGCTTTCCTGACCAGTGTCCACAAGAAAAGTTTGGTTCTCTCCCTGTTTGACCAGTTCAAGCATTCCTCTTATTATTTGTATGTATTAATCTGGAGTATATTAAGAGTAACATGGCTTGGGGGAAAAGGTCAAATACTTGGAGACCCAGGTGGCCTCCAGTGGAGGAGAAAGGCTTAATAAGAACAGACAGATCTTCCAGATCAAGACCTTGTATTGCAGCTGGAACTGGAGACAAGGATTTGGCTTTTACGACCACCAGGCCCTCTTTGAGGGTTGAGCACTCGTGGAGGGAGATGAGATTCACCTGACAAAGTGGGGAAAAGGCATCTTTGCAAAAAACCTGACCAATCTGGTGGGAAAAGCTTTATATTAGGAACACTGGAAAAGTGAGATTGCAACTTGTAGTCAAATGAGGATGGGGTGTATAGGGGTGGAAAGAAAAAAGTGCAGGTAACAGATATAAGACAAACCTTAAGAAAGTAAAAAAAAAAAAGCAGAAGGAGTCCACCTCTAGTGTATATACACAAATGTGTGCAGCCTGGGAAACAAGCAGGGGAAATGAAAGCTCCACATGTGGTCACACAACTACAGCACTGTTGGAGCAACTGAGGTGTGGTGGGATGGTGGCACAACTGGAGTGCTGCAGTGGACAGATACCTACTTCAGGAGAGATGGGAAAGACAAGGAGGGGGTGTGCTATCTCTGTAAGGAAGCAGCTCAGATTTACGGAGCTGTTCTATGAGATGGGCAGCTGGCTGGGTGAGAGCCTGTGGGTCAGGATTGGTGAGTGGAGAGGCCATTAAAGGACAGCATCCTTCAAGGGCAAGATCATACAAGTCCATCCTGATACTGAGGAGGACAAGTAGATATATCAAGAGATTGGCTTGGGTGAGCTGCATTGCCAAAAAGCAGCATACAGGAGGTGGAATCAAGCACAGGTTGTAAAGCGGAAATTTGAAAACACTGCCCAGGTATGTAGAGATGGTGTCAGGAAAGCCAAAGCTGAGCTCCAGCTGAGAGTTGCAAGGATGTCAAGGGCAACAAGAAGGGCTTCAACTGTTACATTAGCAATAGAAGGCTGAACAAGGGAAGTGTAGGCCTGTTGCTGAATGGGTGGGTGATCTAGAGACAGGAGAAACAGGTAAAGTGGAGTTACTCATTGCTTTCTTAGCTTCAGTCTTCATTGACTTCATTGACTTCTATGCCTCCATCCTTAGAGGCAGGGTTCAAAGAGGAGAGGAATGATCTGCAGAAGGTGCCAATCTAGTCAGTGACTATGCAAGACTTCAGACCCATCTGAGACCATCAGACAAGACAAACTGGCCTAGGATATGAGAGAAATGGCCGATGCCCTTGCAAGGCTTTCTATCATATTTTTTAAATCATGCTAGGTGATGCATCAATCTCATCATTTCAGATCCCCAGATGATTGAAGCCAAATATTGCACCCATCTTCAGAAAAGGTAAAAGGAACAAGCCAGGTTACTACAGGTCAATTAATCTCACTTCTGTGCCTGAGAAAATAAAAAAGCAAGTCTTCTTGAAACAAATTCCTGGACACAGGAATAAGAAAAAAGTGACTGTGACAGTTGGAATGTAGTCACCAATGGGCACAGCATGTAAATCATGTCTGACTGACCTCACTGACTTCTGTGATAAAATAACAATTAGTAAAATAGTGAATATTATCTCCATCAACTTTAGAATAACATTTGACACTGTCTCCTATGATATTCAGTATCAAAGTTAGGACATTAAAAGTCTGAATGCTTTGACAACTAGATGGACAAAACATTGGTTGGATACCCCTGAGCCTGAGTACCACAGATATCTATCCTGAGATCTGTACTGCTTACCAGCAGTTGCTCATGAAGTTTGTGAATGGTATCAAATTGGGCAAGGGTGGGAGGGGGGGTGAAGGGGCCAGACCAGCTGATACATTGGAGGGTGGGGCTGCTCTTGGTCAGGCTGGAGGAATAAGCCAATACAAAACCTTGAGAAAATGAACATGGACAAATGCAAGATCCTGCACCTCAGAAGGAAGTGCTCCTTGCAACAACACAGGGGGGGTGAAGGGGCCAGACCAGCTGATACATTGGAGGGTGGGGCTGCTCTTGGTCAGGCTGGAGGAATAAGCCAATACAAAACCTTGAGAAAATGAACATGGACAAATGCAAGATCCTGCACCTCAGAAGGAAGTGCTCCTTGCAACAACACAGGCTGGTGAACCTCAAGAATTCCTGGTCTTGGTAGGCAGCAAGCTGAACATGAGCCAACAGCATGCCCTGGAGGCAAAGAGGACCAACAGCATCCTGGGCTGTGTTAACAGCACAACCATTAGACTGAAGGAAGTAATTAGCTCCCTTTAGACTGCATACAGAATATTATATTCAGTTTGGGGCCTCCAATTCAAAAAGGACATAAAAAACTTAATCAGAGGCCACCAAAGTGGTGGGGGCTGAAGTAATTGTCCTCTGAGGAGAGGCTGGGGGAGATGGGCTTGTTTAGCTGTGAGCAGAAATGGCTTTGGGGGGGAACTTAACAGCAGCTCCCCAGTGCCTACAGGGAGGACACTCAACAGACAGAGCTGGACTCTTTACAGTAGCTGCATGGCAGAAGGACAACAGACAGAATCTTAAATGAGAGGTTCAGACTGAATACTCAAGCACTGGCACAGATTGCCCACAGTTTGTGCAGTCTTCATCTCTGGGGATTTTCAAGACTGGGTGAAACCCTGCGCAGCTTGTCTGACCTCAGAGATGACCCGGCTGTGAATATCTTAATAAAGCATGTGGTCAGAGAAACTGAGAACCAGCTAAATTGTAGTAATGGTTAAAATGGCAGTCAACCAGACCTTGGCTGAATTAAAGAAAGTTCCAGCTTCCATCAGCTCCAGTAGGAATCTCAAAATAATGACTGTGATAAGTGCACCAAGAAGAGAAATCAGTCATTTGGCTAGACACATACATGTAGTAGTCTTTTTAGTGCTACTAATTGCCACATAATCAAGAAAGGATGAAGCAGTCTTTCTCACTGTACTTCAATGAAAAAGACATAAGCTGCACAACAGTAAATGAGCAACACTTCTCTGGCAGTAAGAAAGCTGACATGAATAAGAATGTTATTATCCTGACAAAAACCTTAGATCTGAGAAGGGAAGTTCTGGATATCCACTAATAGCTTGTGACAATCTTCCTTTTCTGAGAACCACAGAGACTGAAGAATTTGCATTCTTCATTCTCTTTTTATTAGCTAATCAACAAAGCTAAGAGGAGAAAACTGCAGAAAACACAGGCAAGTAGTTACAGTCACCAAATCTTTCCTGAAGACTCAGGAGATTGTACAGACCAAGAAGCATGAACCTGAGCTGATCATGGTCTTATCCAACCACAAAATACAGGAAATGTAAGTGGGGTGGCCTGACTACCAAAGAAAAGAGTGCAACTCACGCCAAGAGCCATTAAGCAGTCTCTTTTCTGAACAATCTGTAGACAGTTCCCTGGAATGCAATACTGCCTGATAATCAGTTCGATAGAAGTAGCACCTGCCTAACCCTAAACGGCTGAGGTTGAAAGATGGATGAAGGAATGAAAACCTCTGACTACTGGCGACTCTGAATCATAAACCACAGGCTCAAGATGCCTGAAACCACTGAAATACAGGTTTTCCGAAAGGCCTCTGAGGTCCATAAGAGAATGGAGAACACTCTTGTTTCTGGACCAAAGGAAAAACAACTTTCAGAGGACAGATAATCAAGGAAGTATTAAATTTTCTTTGAGAATTTAGAACTGTGAAGTCATGATGACCACCAGATAAAGAACTGAAAGGACAGAACTAGAGAACTCGTCCATTGCATGGGAGAAATATGGAGAGATTTGAGAGTATTTAACTCTCTTAAAAATGTACTAGATACACTTTCCAGTATCACAAAGGAGGTTCTGAGAAAAAGAGCAGTTAAGTAGCTTGAACCTGTGTTTGGTGCCACAAGTGTGCCAATCAGCACTTAGTCAGCCTTTTTTCTTGTATTACCTACACACGGAACATATGTGTTCCTAGAACACACTCTGGCATAATCTGGCCTTCTCCAACACAAAAAGGGAAGTCAGCTGGTCATACAGGTATATCTGTACTCTAATTATATGGACATGTAGTATTTTGCTCAATTTTCTTGATTGAAAAACACCAACAAACCTTCAAATTGTAGTGGGCTTCAAAACAGCACTGGCAGGAAGTGAGATTCAAGAAGAGAATTACTGTGGGACATGGAATGGCTGTGATACAGGTCTATCTGTATGCTGAGGGAATAAGCAGAGACCATCCACCTCTATAAACACTCTGAAAAGGACCACTGGTATCAGGGTTTACTGACCACACCCTCTCATTAGCATGAGTGCTTGCCTGTAACATCTTACCAGCTGAGCTCACAGGCCTTGGCACCTGAGGCCAAGCCAAGGGGATATGCTATTCACATGAGGAATCTTGGGAACCCAAGACAATTCTAGTTGAGACTCATGCACCAACCACAAGATGATAATATTTAAATTTCACCCTTCTCATGTGGGCTGCTTCTTCTAACAGTGAGGAGTCTGAGAAAAAAGTTTGCCCCACATCGTGCAGCATCATAGAAATTTCCCAGATGTAAAAGCAGACATTACTGAGGCTGAAGAGTGCAGAACTATGTGGACCTTGCTAACTC